ATGAGCCACTTGTCCTAGGTGGTCCACACGAGCCCTTTTCAACAGTGACGGTAATACATAGTCTTCTGAGTCACTGTCTTGCCCTTTTGACCTTATGCCACATGCCAGTCCTCCACTTAGGGACATCAGAAGCATCTAGACAGCTAAACCGCCTAGCCAGGTCCCTTGGTTTTCATCAATACCTGATATGGGAGACTGGAGGTGATTAGCCAAAAAACTGTTTTATTCCATTTACTATTGCAGAGTCAGCAAAGAAGCTGCTAAAATAAAATATGAATTTTGGCAGAATTGATACTTAGAGTATTCTAATTTGTCTTCCTCCTTCTTCTCCCATCCTCTCCAACACACACACACACACACACACAGAGGCACACTTGGAGTTCACTTGGTTAGAAAAGCTAACTCTCTAGCGTTTGAAGTAGCTTTCAGCACTGAGGGCAATATTAAACTGGATATGCTAGTGGCTTCCCCTGAGGTACCCTGAGTTTCCTTCAGTCAAATATCTCTTCCTTCAAGTGTACACTTTTCTTGATAGGAAAAGAGAGCGCGCACGAGGCAAGGTCCGCGCTTGATAGGCAAGGATCTCTGGGAGGCGTTGGGCAGGCTGGTGGGGGCCTTCTGCCCTCTGCAGGTGTCTCGGAACCGTCCCACGTCATGACTGCTGTCGCTGTCCTCTGAAGGGCGGACGTGGGTGCGGGCGGGCGTGTGCCGCGGCGGAGATGGGGCTGAGGTTGCTCCCGATGGGCGCTGCCCAGAGCAGTCAGCTCCACGGAGGCCAGCGGCTAATGTGCCCTCCCGGAGCGAGCGCGGTCATGACGGAATGAAAATCTGGAATTCTGACACTTTCTTCCAAAAGTAAAGTGTATTTTTCTGCCATGTGTTTACCATTCACAAGGTATATGTTTTCCTGTTCACACCCCGAATGGTCATTTCTCTGTACCATCTGCTCCATGTGGCTCAGACGCTGGCCTGGTCATCTGTCGCCTTGGTGTCACTCACTGGGAAGAAACTTCTACGTACTCATGTCACGAGTTTGTAGGACGGAGAAGTGCGCCACTGTTGCTGGCTCATAATGGACATCCACACAGGCCTCCGGAGGGTGAGGGAGAAAGCAAGCTAGCGATGGTTCCCCAACTCTGTTATTCTCTGTCTTCAGTCGTTTGTTGAAAATTACCCAATAACAGAGTCTGACAACTCAGCAAGTGATCCTACACAAGCCTCCTCAGTCGAAGTGCTTCCCATTTGTAAAGCAAAGGAAGTAACATTGCACTTGCCGGCCTCAGAGTGTTGCTGTAAGGACCAAATGAGGCCGTGCATGTGACCCTGTGACAAACAAGATAAAGCATTTTACAAATACTGTTGTAATGACTCAAGTGAACGAGAGGGCTTATTTGGCATGGCTCAGTGTGTGTGTGTGTGTGTGTGTGTGTGTGTGTGTGTGTACTTCAGTTTGTTCTGAACTGAACCAACCTGAGCCGCTACGGACCTTCCCTTACCAGCATCCTCCCTTAAAGCCGCGCTAATTATGTTTGGGCTCTGCAAAATGATGAACACTGGGGAACAGACATTCCTCCCCAAACCGAGAATCTGCATCTGACGCTGGAAGACGCCTTGTGGCCGCTGAGACCTCGTTGCTTCTAAAGAAGAGCGTGTTCTGGGCTTGTCCTACCGCGGCCGTGATGGGGTCTTTTGCTGTTGATCTGAGCTCTGGCCTAACCCACCAGTTCACGGGCAGGTGCTGGGGTCCATCAGAGACTGCGCAGTGGAGGGTTGTTTAGGGGGGAATAAAATAAAAGGAAGCTCCTAACACAGAATGTCATTTTGCTGCTGTCCTCATGTTAACGTATGCCCGTCCTGTATCCTTTGTCGTTGTTGTTAGAGGTGGGGGTACAATTTTCTTTTCGTTGGTACTAAGGCCATGCTTGGTATAATGTTTGTATTTTCCAATAGACAGTCTCAAAATAAAGAGATAAACAGCTAATACCCCTCCCACCCCGCACTGCTGCTCTCTGCGTCTTTGCTTAGCGAGTTAATCACGGCCCGAGCGGCCTCCGCGCCCAGCATCCCTGATGAACGTCCCCCGCCAGCCTTCAGCTGTGGACTCCTCACGCGGGCACGGCCCGCCCTCCAGGTCCCTGCCGCCCACTTCCCTGCAGGAAGTCTCCCCGCCGGTGGCGGCGTTGTGCGCGGTGGAGACGCCACGTGCCAAGGCCGGGTGGCGGGCTCTGGCCGCAGAGGCGGCCACATCAGCCTGGCAGCGTCCCCACGCCACGCACAAGCGGCAGCCTGAGGAGTGAGTTATTGGCCCTCCCCGTAGCATGGTGCTTCTGAGGTGACGCTGCATAAATGTCACCTCATTTGTCTTCCCGATGCCCCTCAGAAGCAGGGAGTCCCATGAAACCCACTGAGGAAGAACTGGTGGCTCTTACGCGGCCGCCCCGCCAGGTGGGGGCTGGGCAGCAGGGCCCGTGGAGAGGTTTCACCTGCTCCCTCATTTTGCACCTTCAGAACCGCGGCCCTGCGGTTCCCGCCAGCTCGATCCACTCCACAGACCTTCCGTGTCCCCTGCGCTGGGCCGGGGAGACTGACGTCAGGGCCAGTGTCCACGCCATTAGGGAGCCCTAAGGGAGCCGGAGAACTGGGGAAAGGACGGCCAGCAGCCACGAGGTGGCACAGAAGGCTTCCCGGAGGAGGCGTGGCTGGAGCTGCCTCAGAAAGGATGAGGAGGAGTCAGCAAGGGAGGAAGGGGAAGGAGGAGGGGAGGGGAAGGCAGTTTAAGGGGAGGCTGGGAGCTGTGGAGGGCAGAAGCGAGGCTACATCAGGAGCCAGAGGCCACATCCCAAAGGGCCTTCGTCTTCTGTCGTGCTGAGGACTTTGGACTTGGTCCACAAGTCGAAGGAGCTCAGTGCTTCCCTCCAGCTCTCCCGCTGCACCAAAAAAGCCCCGAAAATACACACACGCTGTTTTCCTAGCACAATTACTTCAAAGGCCTGACATCCTATAATTTTTTGATATATGGATGAATGAATGAATGATTTCTCTTTGGACTGTCCTGATGTGAGTGGGTAGCTGGTTTCATACTCTTCCGAAGTGGGGCAGAAAAGGCTCGTTTAAGCAAAGCGGGGCAGAGAGAACTCTGCACGTCCCCGGGAGAGGGCCCGGGCCGCGAGGCCGCACGTCCGGCGCAGGTGGTGTCTAAAGCTGTGTGTCATCGGGCGGCTCGGGGCACTGCATGAATCAGAGACAGTCGGGCTTCCTCGACAGGGCAGAGCGGTTTCCGCTGAAGCAAGCACGACACGGAGAGAAAGATGCGTTGGGAGGGCTGCCCAGGGAAGGGGCAGAGAGGGGGTCCGGTTGCCAGGGCTGCGCGTGTCACGGGCGTGTTTGTGATTTAGGCGCAGGGCTTCGGGGAGATGGGGCCATTCACAGTGAAGATCAGAGAAAATGTGTACCGCGTATAGGGTACGAAGGGACGGGAAAGGCCCAGTGCTTGGCAGCAATTTTCCTTGCGTCCCTGTCCTCCGCGTCCTCTGTCCTTGGCGTGGCCGGGCAGTGGCTTCCCTGCCCCTCGTAATAGACCTGCCAGGCGGCAGCCAGCCGCTCACCCTGCACCTGGCGCCGGCCCCGGCACACCCCGCTTCTCTGGGCTTTGCTGTCTTGTATGCCAAGCGCTTACTAACCTAACTCGTGAGACTCTCCTGCCAGGATTTTCTGGATATTTCTGAACTTATTCCAATGATTTGGACCTGCCTGGAGTATCCTCTCAGGTGTTTGTCTTCTATCGTGGATTCTCAGCGGGCCCTGCACCCACAATCAACCAGGTGTTCCAAAGACTGGGGTGGGGGGCACACAGAGGACAATCACTTGTGAATGTTAGGGACGTTGGAAATTAGTGACCACGCAGATTATTTCTAAGATTCCTTCCAGCCCCACCCCCCAGGGCTGATTCCTCCACAGTATTCTTAGATTCAGAAGTTCCCCTGCAACCTAAAGCAAGCCTGGGTTTTTCTTGTCAATGTCCCATTTTCTGAGTATAAACACTGTCCGTCCTATGGGGTTTGTGTCCCGTACTCTGTCCCACATCCAGCAGAGATAACGTCTGAAGAGGTGGCTTCTGTTGGAAAATGTTTAGATAGTCTTAAGAGGAAGAGCACTGTAACTTATGACATCCAAAAAGAAAATTGTCCTGGCAAACCAAGGCTTTTTATATCAATAGCCAGACTTCGTAGTCATTAGAGGGTTTCCTACTGATTTCATTTTGGCTGGAGACTTTGTAGCCTTTGAATGATTTTGCATGTGGGGTGGGGCCAGCTTCACATCTGGACAGATGAGACTGTGACCTGGGGGAGTTCAGGCAGGTGGAGGCTGGCCCCAATACTCTTCCCCACCCAACTCTACCAACCTATCCCTACTGAAAACCCCACCTTTGCAGCTTCAGCCTGTTGTTTTGAGGTTTTGATGACAAAGTTGTTGGATACATATAGCCACCAACGCAGGGGAAAGAGCACGAATTAAAGAGATGAAGGTACCAAAGAAAGATCTTGCCAACTCCATTATTTCTCCCAGGGTCAGCCCTAGTTAGGATCAGAATATAAAAAATGTCCCAGTATGAAAGATCTTAAGGACAAGCTAGTTAATCCCACATTTTACATAAAGGGAAACGGAGGCCCAGAGCGGGGAGGCACATTGCCCAAGGATGCTCTGCTGCTTAGGTGGCAGCGGGTCTAAAACCTGGATGTCCTGACGCCCAGACAGAAGGGTGCCTCTCGGAGACAACAGGCATGATTAGCAGCAATTTTCGGGGGGCCAAATCACTTTGAAATATGAAAACTGAAATGGCTGAAAAACTAGAGAAAAATTTTCAAAATGGCTTTCTGACTCTGGGTAAACAGTAACCACATTTTTTTTGCCTGTTGGAGGCCTGGTTTTTAATCACTCCACAAGCAGTTTTCATTTCTGTAGTAAAATTGCTTGTGGTTCTATTTAATTTGTTTCTGCAGGAGCCAGCTTTGGCGAAGATCTCCAAGGAGCTGGCGGGCATTTTAGCACAGCACGCACAGCCAGTCAGTGAGAAACGCTTCCCGACGTGGAGGAAATTCCTCCAAACATTCCTCAGTCAAGGTAAATAAGACTGCAAAGTTCCTATTGAGGATTAGTCTACACAACCTTGGATCCTAGTTCTGGGTCAACTGGGGCCAATTTAAATCCTTTGCATCTCCAGTGTTGGTTTAGAAAAGTGCTCCCACCGTTTTCTTTTTTAAATGTTGCCTAAATATTGATCTTGCACCCAGCCTCTTAAGTAAATAGGGACGAGCATACCAAGCGTGGCAGGCGTAGCTCCAGATTCTGGGCCTTTTCCTGCAGCCGCAGACTTCTCCCGAGAGGCGGGCTTTGCAATCAGACCACCTGGGCCTGAACCTCACCTGTAACCTTGAGTGAGCAAAGTTCTCAAACCCTCGGAGGCCCAGTTTCCTCACTCTCCCACCTCGCAAGGTTGTCGGGAGGACTCGGTGAAATGCAGATATGGAGGCTCCCACCGCAGAGCCCGACGCAACAAGGTTCCTCAATAAATTTCAATTTCCCCCTCTGTTTTCCGGGAAAGCAGAAATGGTCTCACTTCCAGTTCTGAAGGTAGAATTTCCCAATAAGGCTCCTCTACAGTTCGGGAACAAAGCCAGCCTGCGTTCCTTTCTTCCTCCTCCTCCTGCCTCGGCCTCACTTTCTAAGGACATTGGGAGACCCATGAATGAGGGATGGTGGAGTGAATGTGGGGGTCCCATGCCAGGGCTCTCAGCCCCCAGGAGGCTACAGTGGGAGATATTCCTATGTGCTTACCCACGGGCACGAGAAGAGAGGGTTAGTATCACAGACCACTCTATTCACTGCTGTCCAGTGATAATAATAATATATTAGCAGCAACAATATATAATGATAAAATTATGTTATATCGGATGATAACAACAGCTGCAACAGCACAGGGATGATAACAGCACAGTGATGATAACAGCACAGTGATGATAACAGCACAGTGATGATAACAGCACAGTGATGATAACGGCATAGTGATGATAGCAGCACAGGGATGATAGCAGCACAGGGATGATAACAGCACAGAGATGGTAGCATGACAAGCACAGACAATGCTTATGATGCACCAGGCATTATTCTAAATATACATATACAAATACACATATGTACGTGTGCTGTCCACCCAGCTACCACATCCATGATGAGGTAGGTACCATTATCACACTCACCTTACAGAGGCAGAAACTGAAGTACAAGATTAACTTATCCCGAATCGCTCTGCTGACACGTAGAAGCGCCCATGAAAGCCTACGTCTGCGTTGCTCCGGGAGTCTTGGCCAGAGCCCGTAGGTATGTTTATCAAGGAGTGCATCTTAGCTCAGGGGATGAGAAGGAATTGGAAAGGCCAGAGCTGACAGTGGTTAGTGGACACCCTGTTCATGAATTCTTTAACCAAGGGGCTGAATGGCAGCCACCTAGCAAGAATGCTGAAAAGGGTTCTTTAAAGGAAGAGCACAGAGAGGGGGTTGGGCTACATAACTTCTAATGTCCTCTGAGCTCTTAAAATTCTGTGATTCTATAAATGTCCACATGCACCCACTGACAGAAAAGTCAAAGTAAGAAAGCCAACACCCTGCTTAAAGGGAAGAAAATAAAGTAGCTTCTATAAAAATGATCAAGAATAAGGGAATTTTACCAGCCTGAGCAAGAGTGAGAACCCATCTCTACAAAAAATATAAAAATTAGCCGGGCATGGTGACATACACCAGCTACTCAGGAGGCTGAGGCAGGAGGATTACTTGAGCGCAGGAGTTTGAAGTTGCCGTGAGCTACAATGACGCCACTTGCACTCTAGCCTGGGAGACAGAGCAAGACTGTCTCAAAAAAAAAAAAAAACAACAACAACAACAACTTGTAAGTCTTGTGTTTTCAATGCTTCTGCCTAGGACTGAGCCCAGTGCATACAGCAGGCCCCGCATTAATGTTCCCTGCTGGACCACAGTATGCCCCAGGTTTCCTGACTCTAAAGTCACCACCTCCCACCAGCTTCCACTATTACCTGTTTCATTCCATTCCTGCTCTCGCAGGTGGGCTTATGGCCACAAAATGTGCTTACGATTTTATTTCTAAATTGCCATACGATTATATCAAAGGCAATACATGTTTATAGAAGAGGAATTAGTTGCTTTGAAATGAAAAAATTAACAGTGAAAAGGGTTATGGTCACCATGCAGAGAAGACCACAAATAAGCTACTTTGAGACAGAGTATCTAAAGTAATCTCGTACGTTAGGAAGGGCGACGTGTTTCCACTGGAGCACTATCTTTCAACATGTAGGTGACAGCTAAAGCCGTAAAATTAACTAAGTCAGAGACTCACTAGGTTTTTTGTTTTTGTTGTTTTCTGTTGCATTTACCTTGCTAAATCCCCAAAAACTGGTATTTTGGTACAGCACATACCATGTTTCCCTGAAAATAAGACCTACCCATAAAATAAGCCCTAGCAGGATTTCTAAGCATTTGCGCAATACAAGCCCTACCCCGAAAATAAGACCTAGTGATGGGCGTGGCTACACAGCGCATCTGCACAACCCATGCATTTCGTCTCGGAGCAGGAAAGAAGGTGAGCAGCCCTTCTCATGTGCCCCATCGTGACAGCTACTATCCCAGAGGTGCGGAAAGGTGCGGGCAGCCCCACCAACAAGGTCGGCTCCCCCTGTCAGGTCCCAGCCATCCTGTGCGTGCTGCAAGCTGAGGCTTTGAGGGGAAACTAACACATCCCCTGAAAATAAGCCCTAGGGTGTCTTCTTGAGGAAAAATAAATATAAGACCCTGTCTTATTTTCGGGGAAACACGGTACTACTGGACCCCATTCGAAGAAAATAATATCTTGAACCAACCAAATACATAAGTTAGGGGTTGAATGTATATTCTCTAAAATCAGTGTTTCTTCTGAATCTTGGTGTTTATTAGGGCTACCTCTGATCAAATTTATAGACATTTAAGGAAAGTGCCTTTTGCATGAAGTAACAGATGACTGCATTTGAGAATTGCTAAAATCTCAGGACTTAACCATATATGCTGTTCAAAGTCTGTGGCTTTTACTTATGGGCAGAGGTCCCCCAACCCCAGCAAATTTGCGAAATGCAGGCCAAGTGTGTCTTAATGCTATCAGGTTCTAGAGGCCATGTGTCTAGGGAACACTTAGTTGTTTTTGCTTTTAAATCAAGATATCTAACTCTTCACAAGTAATAACCTTTTTTATTTTTTCTACAAAAGGGTTATACACAGTAAGATTTGTAAGTTAGGCCTAAAAACAGAAGATCCGGGCTATGAGATTTTTATGGACACCACTGAGGTTGCCCACAAAATTAGAAAGTAAAATATAGCTGCTATGGCTGAGCATCAGATTTGCCTATATGGTTTTTGGCATTCAGAGCAAAAGGCAAAAGATAATAAATTATAAAGTTCTCGTTATCAGCAAGGAGAAAGCATAACTGGTCCTCAAAAATGGCAGCATCTCCTGGCTATTATATTTTTAAATGTTTTACAACTGGCTTTTATATAGGGAGTCCTTTGGCTGACATGATGGCCAGTGTGCTATCTGCCTGCTAAACGCCCAAACCTGTCAAACCTGAGAAAAGCAGCGAAGTTGACCAGAAAGAGCACATTGAACATCAGGGTACAAACTGTGGACTCTGGGCAGTTAATTCTCCCTGAGGGATTTGACCATAATTCTTGGGTTCACTGTTTATGTGATGAATGGGCACAGACTAGATGATCTTCACAGTGTCTTTCTAATTATGGTCAGAATCAAAACCACCATGCATGGGGCCCTACTTATGTGCCAGGCATTGGGCTAAATACAATACACATAGTATCTCTAAGATTCACAACAACCTGGTGAGGTCGTTTTATTATGCCCACGTCACAGATGAAGAAAATAAGTTCAGAGAATTTCAGCTATTTGCCCAAAGTCTCCCAAGACAAGGCAGATGCGGAATCTGAGCCCCAGTCCACCAAAGCCTGCGCTCTGTCTTCCTGCTCTCCATGGGCACAGTCCCTGTAACACGTCCGTTCACCCACTCCGTGCTTTTCCCACCAGGGGGCGTGGTCGAGGCGTTCCCACCGACAGACAATGTCACCAACCTGACAGTAGACATGCTGATAGAGCCCAACGGAGACATCAGTGTGCTGTCCACGGGGGACCAGTTTCACGCCGATGGCCCCTTCATCTCCTCCGGTACCACCGTGCCTCAGACCTCAGTGAATCCCGAAGCTCTCAGTTATTTGTGCCTCCAAATCGGAAAGGCCTGCAAAATGAGAGATGTGGTTGGTTACTTTTCTGTAGATTTTGTGACTTTTATTGATCCGGACACCTTGGAACAGCAGGTAAGTCAAATGGAGGTCACGTGAAATATTAAAATATGTGGGGACTCCATACCCTACATACCAATGCAATGGGGAGTATGTGGGAGCTTCTAAAACTCAGGGCTCCTCTGATGAGCTGACTCTAAATTCAGCATCTACATGGTCCGCACCAATGCTCGAGACCAGGCTTTCTGTCCGGATGCCCAGGGCCAGGGTCATCTTGTTCAGGTACGGTTGGAGTTTAAGTGACTGAAACCCCCATAGCTCTGTTGACTGGGCCCTCAGTTCTGTCCATTGGTGCTACGCCTGTGTATTGTGAGACTATTTCATGCCATGCAGAGATTGAACTTGTCTAAAGCCTGTTCTGAAATAGAAAATCAATCACTGGATAGGAGTTAAGAGCTCTTGTATCTGTTCCTGTGCTTAGTAGTAGTTCACCAGCAACTTAGATTGTCAATCTTTTTCTTTTAAAAATGTATTGGGAAATACTTCAGAAATATAAAAAGGTCTAAATAATAATATAATCAATATCATGTGCCCCCCACCAGCTTGAGAAGTAAAGTGGTGTGGATACCATCTCCAGTCCTGTGTGTTCCTTGCCAAACGCATGGCCCCTCCACCTGGGGGACAGGAGGAAGCTACCGTCTTATATTTAGGGTTTTGATTCCCAATTCCCTTCCATATCTTAGCACTTTTACCACACATGGATATATGCAGAAATAACATGGTTTTATTTGGCATGTTTTCAAGCATATTGTAGATCACGACATTCTATACAGCATCATGGTCCAGTATGCTTTTATTTATTAAATACTGTATTGTGAGGTTCTTCGTGTGCACATGTGTGGCTCTGATGTATAATATTCTGGATAAATAATTTTTAGCCTTTTTTGCTTTGCCCTTCCCCCCCCCCAAATTATAATGTTTAAATTCACTACCTATTTCACAAGACTTATTTTTAAAATCATTCAGTGACCCCTGCCTGGGTGCTGGGCGTCCAGACCTCGGTCCGGAAGGCGAAGTGTCCTCCCGGCCCCTCCCCCCGTGGCCGCTGGCCATGGCGCCGTGCACAGACTCCAGTTGTTTTACATTCACTGTTCTCAGCTTTACGGTTCTCCATTTCAGTCAGATGACGTTTCAAAGTGCGAGTTTATGTTTTTGGCAGTTTTCAGCTTGTTCAATAATCATTTTCCATGTGCCTTCCCCGGCCCTCCGTCGGTTTCACATTCTGTTCTCAGGCCCCCACGTCGGGAGGGAAAAGGACAAACTGAAGGCCATTCAGACATCTACCTGGGTGCGGGGGAGAAAGCAGGGTGGCAGGGAAGCGGGGGAAGGAGACAGGCTCCCCTGTCTGCCCTCCTCAGATATTTGTCATGAGAAAGGAGGGTTGAACCTGGGGTCCCCGGGGCGGTAGGGAGCGTGGAGCCATGGGAACAGCTGGCCTGTGGCTTGGTGCAGGGAGACTTGCACACAGCCACTGGAGGGATCTTCTCGAAACGCAGTGTTGTCTTGTCCTGGGCTTCCCACCCTTCCAGGCTTCTGAGAGAAAGATCCCACCCTCCCACTGGCTGGTCCCATGTACCTGGCCAGCCTTGTGTCACCCTAACTCCCCTCTCTTTCTCTCTGGTCCATCCACACACACAGCCTCTCTGAGTGCCTCTTACTCTTCACACTACCCTCTGCCACAGGGCCTTGGCACATGCTGCCCCTCCGCCTGAGGGGCCCTTGCCTCATCTTTCGACCTAGTTAACCCCCTTCCCATCATCATATCTCAGCTCAAGCCACACTTATTAAAGCCTTTCCCGTCCTTCCTGGAAGAGTCAAATTCTCCCGTTTCAGGTTCTCGTATCCTCGTGTAGCTCTCCCTCACACCACTTACCTCATTGCAATTTCAAACTTATTTATGTGAGTGTCTGATTAACGTCTACCTCCCCATAGGCTGTGAGCTCCCGGAGGAGACGTGCTATGTCTGTCTCTGCCCTCCACGGTGTTCCCAGCACCTATCTCTGCCCTGGGACAAAGTAGGTGCTCAGTAGATATTTGCTGAATGAACGAACGAACAATAGAGGTTTCTAGCACGTGCTGGATGGTGTCATGAAGGCTTTTAGAGAAGGAGCTCGGACATTCATTGGATGAGTGGGATTGATAGATATTAACCCAAGATTCTCTGATTTTATCATACTATGAGTTCTCCTTGTCCCTCCCCATTGATACTTGAGTATATATATCACTTGTGTTACAATTATCAATAGAACATTGAAGGAAGTTCTCAGTGACCACACCAAAGGGCGTTTCTATATTAGCAAAGGGAAATGTTTCTGTTCTCTGTATATAATAGATGATTTGCAAATCACTGGCATAGTCTCTACCCATTTTGCAAGTGCTATCACTTCAGAAAGTACCTTAACATCTTTTCTAATTGGAATGCCCTGTGATGCCAGCAAAGAGTCTGGCAGGCATATTATCAACCTCTCATTTTTGCCAATCTAACAGATAAAAAATGTCATTTTATTTTTACTCAGTATTTCTTTATTAATGATGATGAACATTTCTTTGTATGCTTGTTAATCCACTTATATATCTTTTCTTACTTCTCTGATCATGTCTTTTGCCCCCTTTAAATTTGACTATAATGCAAATGTTGATTTTTAGGAGCTCTTCGTAGATGAGGAACTCTTGTTCTTTGAATGTTGTGCATGTGGCAAATACCTTCTCTCGGATTATTTGTGACCCTCCTTCCTTCCCTTTTTTTAAGCCATGTTTCTCCACCCTAAAATCACTATTTCTTCCTTTGTAATTGATTAGTAATATTTTGTAGAGAGGTGCTTAAAGTACCCCAATATCTTATTCCTCATCAAATTCCACCCATAAAGTTTATCATATATTACTAACTTTTTCCTGAATCCACTATTACTATGATAGTGATACTTTTCTATTTCTATCATTTTTTTCTACATGTGTTAGTTGTCAATCTACTGCAAGGAAGAATTTTTACTTCTCCACCTTTCATTTATGTATATATGTATGCATGTATTTTTATCAGTATGAACTCATGGGTTTCTATTTTATTTAATGGGCTGTATTTTGATACTTTCATATTTTGATGCTCAAATTGTCCCAGATTTGGCCAGTTGGAGACCCTGCAGGGTGGTTCTTACATTCTTTTGATATGTTCTTATCATTCTTTGAGCATTGTCTTACTTTCTTGCACAATAAGATGTTCAAAGTTTATTTTCTATTTTCCCTACCCTAGACCTAGGATCAACTGAGAAGCCCTGGTTCCTTTAGCAGAGTAGGATATTAAAGTGTGGGCTGTTAGTGCTCTCATCCTGCTGGGGTGTCATTGCTTCTGGGACCTCTCAGTGGACAGAGCTAGGAAATATATGTGTTATATATGTATAGTACATATGCACAATTATATACATATACACATAAGCACATATATACATATACATACATACATGTATGCATCTATTACTATTTATATATCTATCAGTGTGTGTGTGTATATATATATTTATTTATTTTTAGATAGAGTCTCTCTCTGTCACCTAGGCTGGAGTGCAGTGACACTAACATAGCTCCCTGCAGCATTGAACTCCTGGGCTCAAGTGATCCTCCCGTATCGGTATATATATTTTAAAACCATGAGTTCCTGCCAATATCTCCAATTGTAAACCAACATTCAAGATTCTTTCTAGACTTCCCCTTTTCTATGCTTAAAAATGGATATCCCAATCACACTGATTTGGGGCACAATTATAATATATATACATTGTGTACATGTATCAGAATATCACAAGTATCTCCAAAATATGTACAGCTGTCATATGTCAATTTAAAAAATACAAAGAAAACCCCAACCTCATCCTGTTATTTTAGTTAACAAAGAAAAAAAAAAGCTAAATAGAGCTGGACACATAGTAACTGTGTATATTTACAAAACAAAATCTCATGGGGTTGGAATCAATATATCTAGAGCAGGGGCTGATAAACTGTGGTTCACGGGCCAAATCTGGCCCAACATGCATTTTATGTAAATAAAGTTTTATTGGAACTCTAAAAAAAAAAAACCTCCAACAGTGAAAAATTATCTTTTTCACTCAATATATTTATTAATAATTATCCACTCAATTTACTTATTTGACTAAGGTAACCAGTCTGCCACCTGCTCCTGTCATCTCCTTTGCCTGCCACGTCCATGCCCCGCCCCCACTTGCCTTATGTGCTTGGACACCAAACCTGTCATATGGTCAGTAAGTTTATTTGTAATGCTTGTCATCGTACTAAAGTTTCATATAATAAAATCTAGCTCTTTTTTCTAGAGTGTTGTATTACCTTGAGTTTATCTCTCTCTCGTGTTTAGTTTTCTCAGCTGTAAAATGAGGTTAGCTTACTTGACTTCTGAAGAAACTTCAGTTCAAAAAATTATTGATTTCAATAACATTTTTACAGTACTTATTTTTTGTATCAGCAAATTCAAAATTTAATAGTAATAAGAAGAGGAATTCACTTTTTAAAAATTGTCACCCGGAAATAGTCACAAAGATGTATACACACATATTAATCACTACATTATTAAGAATAGCAAAACATTTCAAATAGCCTAAATTCCAATAATAAAGAATTTTTAAAGCAAACGATGATAGATCAATGGAATTGAGCACCACAAAGACAATAAAACTAGTATTGTTGAAGAATATTTAATAGGAAACTCTATAGACTAGCAGGAGGGTAAAAAGCAGATCACAAACAATATATGCAATACGATGATAATTTTATAAAAGGAAAAAACATACAAACACAGAGCAAAAGGGCTCTAAATATATACACTACAATGTTGCAAGTCACTCTTTCCAGATAGGAAGACTGAGGGTGTGCTAATCAGAAAATTGGTCGCCCAAAGTTGTCCACACTCTAATTCCCAAAATCTGTGAAGTTGCCTTACATGGCAAAAGGACTTGGCACGTGTGATTAAGTTAAGAATCTTGAGACAGGAAGGTGATTCTGGATTATCCAGC